TTATCTCAAAAAGCAACTGTGAGTTGCATAACTGATCTCCAAGTACTTAACCAAAATAATTATGATAGCTGTTGAGCAATATACAGTGTAGTATAGATATAGCTCAGATTTAGACTTGGCCTAAAATTGGTCTAAATTTAGACGTCTAAAAAACTTTAATTTCTAGACCTGTGGTAGTCTGATTTTAGACCAGTTGTCTAGGTTACATTTAGACCTCTTTTAGACCAAAAACTACTCTGTGGGTTGGTGGCAAAGTTAACTTTTAAAAAATCTGAATGAAGAGTACACTTAAATCCATCAGAGTCTCTCAAAATTAACTTTAATATAGATTCAGTCCAGTTAATAGAAAGTTGTTGCCTAGCTTGCATGCTGGTTCCCCAGACTGTATTTCAAGTGCTGCTGATATCCTTGCTATGATCAGTCCTTTTTCGCTAGTTGTCACTAGTGAGTTTTCTAACCAAGTCACCAAACCTCGAACCCAAGTCTTGAGTTCCTTGTGTTTGAGTCCAAGACGTGTTGCGAGTTTTGATTCGTTAAATAGTTGATTTTGTGACAGCTCTGCCAACAAATCTTGACTTTAGCAGTGTTTTGTACCAGACTAGCAGAGTCGAGGAGGGACAGTGAGAAAAAACAAAAGGATCACTGAAGTTTTTTACAGCCGTAAATGTCGGCTTCAGATTAATACAAGAATCTTCTGCTGGGGATTGTAACCTGCTCAGTTTTGAGGCAGGTTATTGGTCTACTTCTACACAGATGCAGACAACAATGAAGTTTTATCAACCATCAGCCAAGAAAACTGATGGTGTTCACGGTGGAAAAAATGAAGCCAAAATTCGACTTAGCCAAGAATTGACTTTAAAGGGGCAGCAGTAGATAAACACCTCCTGGTAAAGTATGTATTTTTTGCAGCGTGCCTCCAAAACATCCCTGCAAACTCAGACATGCACACAGATTGGGTGAAGTCTCTAATCCTGCATGCCCTGGACGCCACGCTCACCCCACCCTCCTCCTCTCACACTGGGAAATTTAGCATGCCCTCTCGGCTGAGGCAGAAAATGAGATTACTGTATTTAAATGACTATGGTAATGGCGAGCATGCTGCCGGGCCCCTGTAGGATAAGGGATTTCTCCTGTGCTCATTGTTAGCAGTTTTGCAAAGTGCCATCGTCCTGCTCATGCTCACAATGGGGATGTCATTTAAAAGACATTTCTCTTTCTTTCTCTCTCCCCCCTCGGTTCTTTTCATGCCCCTCTGTTCCCCTGTCAGCCCCATGTACCAGTCCCCAGGAGGGCTAGTCACTGCATGTGAGTGTATGTGTGTGTGTGTGCATTAACGTTACCGACCCACCAGTCCAGACATAAGGTGAATATTCTTGATTCAAAGCCACACTAGAGTGATTGGACACGGTCAGTCTGTTTGAGGAGACATAATCCAATCTATGTTTGTAATGAAGTGTACTCTCCCAGGACTGACACCATGTGTTCTGTGGAACATGGAGGCCAGGTGGCAACAAGATGGTCAAGTGTTTGGTCATACCTGCACTTTTCAAAGCATTGTCCGAGGCCCACACTTAATTCTGATGAGAAACAGTTCCACATTGGGATAAAAAAGTTTCACTGTGAAAGTGCAGTAAACTCGATTCAGAAGGTTTTGGCTCTTTTTTCATCTTATAAAACACACTGATCATCCCCAGCATTTAACCACCTGCCTGGGGCGCCCTGGGGGCTCACCTGGTAGCGCGCACACCTTGAGCATCAGGGCTGAACATGGAGTTGTACAACATACGTGCAGTTAGATTCCTGTTATTCCCTCTGTATCCTGCCTCTCCTGGACCTGCCTTTTTGTTTTCATGTCCTCCTTGTATCACTAATTCACCTCTGATCCATCAAAGCGTGGACTCATTAAGACCTCTGTAGGTCCCCTGAGGTAATTTGCTCCCAAATTTTGAATTTGAGTTTAACAACTAAGACATTAGAGCACCCCCACAACAGACTGTTCCAACAGGAAAACCTTAAAAATGGAGTATTTTACTCTCTAAAAAACTAAAGTTTCGAATAATTTTAGAAGAAAATTGTTAAAATATGTGATATGAAAGCTATGGATAATAGGGTCAATGATATAAGAAAGCTTTGTGCTTCCTGGTTCCATTGCTTCCAAGGTTAGGAAAATACCAAAAACAAGAAGACATCCACAATATGCAAATGAAAACATGCCACATTCTTATTGTCCAGATCAAACTGTCAGAGTCACATTGAAGACTTTCAAAGTGGAGGACTAAGTTTGAACTGATGGCAGTCAGACCAGTCTACTTTTACAGAGCCAATACAAACGTCCAATGTTAGCCTATTATATCTAAAGGGGACACGACTACGCGGGGGCGGAGTCATGGAGTCATGGAGTCGTACGTAGTCAATTTTGAGAGCTTGTCGGGTGGAGTGTTCGTTACGTGCTTCTAACTCAGTAATTCCACACGACATAAACTCTAAACTTCCATACAAAACCCCGGACATTAGAGGGATTTTATAAATTCCTTTGGACAAGGCCAGACAGCCCCCCAAAAAGAGGACATATCCAGGTAAAAGAGGACGTATGGTCACCCTAATCTATCTATCTAGTCATTCCTTGAATTTCACCACTTTGGGAAGTACAGACTATGGACTGACAGGTATTGGTTTTCCTGGGCCGACACCAATACTAATGATCAGTACCTCAGCCAATAACCAATACTTGGAAACAATATGCAATCACTTAAAAAATGGAACAGGGTAGGGTGCACAAATAGCCTAACCTACCCCACGTATGGGGACTATAGTTACCCGCAGTGGCCCTGACAATTTGCAGCATTTTATCCCCGCTCTCTATCCCCCATGTTTTGTCCTATCCATTGAAGGCTACATAACGCCCTAGAAAAATAACTTTAAAAAAATTGAGCAGGCAAGAAACCGAAAACAGTGTGGCAAGAGTTTCCCTAACTTTCCACTTGGGCCACTCTGTCTCGAGTCAAATCTCGTAGGTGGAGAGGTGTTGTTCTGGAGATTCTCAGGATCTTACTTGTTGCAGGAGGACAGCAGGGGACACTGGGAGACTCACGGACCAGCACATATGGAAGGTAAGGCAAAGTCTTGTCATTCCCTTCTGGGACTTGTAATAACAGTCTGAGCCCATCAGTAGTGAAATTAAGCTCTTGTAGTGGATGCAGTTTGATGATGTGCAATTGCTCGGTCAAACTTAGCTTGTTTCACGGCTGCTGCACTCTCCCTCAATATTGGACCAGTTTCAGAGACTGTTTTGTTTAACTTATGCTTGTTGCAGTAGGTTTGTGCTCTTTCTGTGCACCCAGGATTGTCATATCTCATGGCATTATGGTTATGTAAATATATGGCTCTACCATTGCCTCAAAATACTGAATTCCAAGAGTTTCGCTAGTCCTGGAATCAAAGTCAGACATGATATGACATATAAGTTTGAAGCTTTTGAAAAGGTTGTGAATACCAGAAGTGGGAAGCAACCATAAGGTCTTTTCTTGTGAACTTGACAAACCTTTCAGTTGTCAGTGTAGGTTCTCATTCATCCAGGTCATGGTTATCCCATTGTTCCTTGGAAAGGCAACTGGACTTGTTTGAGGTTCTTGAAGATGTTTCCTCTCTCTCCCAAAAGGTTTCCTCAGCTCTAAAGTGCAACAATTGAAACAACGCTTTAGTGCTGAATCACAGGCCCCAATATCATGCCGAAACCTGGCAAAACCAAGAGGGCATCCCGCCAGGTGAAACCAGGTCAATGACCTTGTCAATGACTCTCAGGTGACCCAGCTGTGAATGACCCTCATGTGACCACCCACACCTTTAGTCACTTTAGAACTGAAGGAGCCTTTTGGAAGAGCAACAATACAGTAGTTTGTTGCCAACCAGGGTTCAGATGACAGCCTTCACACCAGCGCAAACAAACAGCACTAAATTGGCAAATGGACTCAGGTTCTTTTTGACTGAACCAAACAAGGTAGGTGTGAAATGGCCCTTATTTTTCATAGTCAGACTGACTTACCTGGATGACGCAGTTTCTCTTAAATATATTCACCTATGTAAATAGGACCTAGCATCATCACAGCGACTCTCAGCGACTGCGCCCCTGAATGCGCGCAACGCTACTGCACTGCGCTGGTTTGAGGAACTAAAGAAAAAACCCAGAAATACCGAGAGCTATTTGGCTTCAAACCTGTATACAGGCAGGAGGCGGAACCAAGCTGTCCATAGTATATACAGTCTATGCTTTAGACCAGTTAGCCTCTGAGCTAACTTGTCCGTTGATTGTTTTGGTGATGCACTAGGTAAAACACAGTAGTAACTGCCCTGAATGGAGCATATAACCATCTAGTGAAAAGGGGTCAGACATACTTTTGTCAGTAAATCAGTTCTCTTCTGGTGCTTCAGTGCTGGAACAAGGACAGTGGTCCAGCTAAATCACCTAAACAAGCTCTAACTTTAGCTTGTTTTAACTATACGTAGAGATGTACTGCCCCGTCAGGCTGTTTCCTGCCTTTCGCTTCCATTCTGGTGATCACGGAAAGAACTCTGATTTTAAGGTAATCCTAGAAATCCTCCCTGAGCTAATCTTTAGGTTCAGATTTATAGTGTAACGGAGAAGAGCTTTAACGAGTGAAGATGCTATACATAAATAAAACAGAGAAGTATATGAGAGACACAGAGGAGGACACAGGAGAGAGGGCTGCACAGAGATGAAGTGACGGAAGAAAGAGGAATGTGCTCAGGGGGACGGCAGGACGCCGACTGCGAGCCCTAATGTTGCTGTTGCTTTTTGCTCGCCGTCACAGAGCACTTCATCATAGGTGGGTTTTTCTCCAGGTCCCCTCCCCTCTCATCCTGCCCCGCTACCACCATCCCTATCCCCTGTCCCACTCGGTTCCAGGGCCCCCCGCCGCAAGCCTGATCTATTGGTTTTCAGCGGCGCAAGGTGCGATAAATCATGAGAATGGGGGCCGGCGATGATTAGGTTGTGGGGTGCGGAGAAAAAGGAAGAAGAGGAAAGAAGGGACGGATGGATTGGAGGAGAAAGAGGAGGAGGGCCCGGCAGCCGTGTGTACTGCAGACAGGTTACTGATGATGTTTGTTTCTCCCAGGCCTGTACCTGTGCAGGGGGCAGATTCTCCTGGGTGTTACATAAAGGAGCTATGGGTCTGCCGGGGCCCGACGCAGCCTGGAGGACACATAAACTGAGCTGGAATTACCCAGGCGCTGAGATATATACAGGCACAGCAGCATTGCTTATTCTGGCCGAGCCCATTATATCCACTCTGCTCCTGAGACGACGAAGAAGAAGAGGAGGAGAAGGAGGAGGAGGAGGAGGAGGGGGAAGCAGGGACGGGAGAGATGAGCCCATGGGAGCAGAAAATGTAGATTAATACTGTTGCATATTTTACCACAATTAAAACTTCATTTGTCTAAATGTGTGGACTTTAGCCTCATTTAAGCCTTGGTGGCTGGGTAGTTTTTTAAATTACGAGATTGACGGAGCCGAAGAGAAGAAATACTCCAGCTGCTGTTTTTTGTTCTGACATTTTCAAAATGCATAGTTACACCTTATTTTCCCAACTCCTGGAAATTGAGCTCCCTGTCAATTATTGATGCCCCCACCAACTCTGATTATATAAATACCGGGAGGAGAGGTGATGAGATTTGTCTAGAACTTGAGCAAAACTTGAGTTTAATGCCTCATTGGGAGAGATTTGCCAGTCAAGCACCCTTTAGCCTGTCACCTTTTCTCAGGTAACAAATCCCCCACAAGGCACCCACAGTGCGCGCCGCGTCTCGGGCTGAGGAGTCGGCAAACACAAACAGGAGCAGAGATGATAATGAACAAGCTTGTGTATGTGTGTGACTGAGAGCGGGATGTTCCACAACAAGCCCCCCTCACAATGTACAAGTCGGTTTTACCGCTCGCCCATTTAATGGTTGTTCTCTGTTACTGTATGTTTCATCAGCGGCACAGGGTGGCAGGTGGGAGGGATCCTGCCTTTGGAGGAGCGGAGAGGGGCTTTGTTTGCTTTAGTTTACACGCTCGCTCGTTGTTTGTTGCTTGTTGGCGCGCCAGCTCTCTGCCGTCAGCCTCGCTATCATCGAGTCTGACAGCTCCACGGCCATGTTTTGAAGGGAGAGGAGGAATTAAAAGAAAGAGATTGGCGCTAGAGAGGAAGAAAAGATCCAGGTGCCGCTCTTTAACATCACCTGCAAGACATTACAAACTGATTTCCCCTTTAGGATCTGTGGTTTGAGGTGCAGGGTGAGGCACCTTCAGAACTAATGTGGGTGATTCGCTTCTTTTTCTTGGGTGCAGGAGGAGAGGAGGGGGGGGCCTGGGATTACAGAGATGATCCTGCCATTCATCCTAGCTCTGAACAGAGCCCCGTCTTCCCTCCCCAAACCCTGCTAATTCCCTTTTGATGAGGCGTGCTAAATAAATCCTATTTCCACGCCTTTATTCCCCACCGACTCCTGGAGCGTAGATCAGGGACGCAGATTTTAGGGGCTTCTGCCGCCGTTTGGGACCCACAATGGAGCCCGTCTGCATGGCGGCCCATTCCGTCCAGTTAGCCTCATTATGCTTTCACCCCAACACATGCCCAATGGCCCACAAACACACACACACAAATACACACACAAACAGCAGCAGACTGACACCTTTACACATGCAGTTTCACACAAATACACCATGATGGCTTTGTGCAATTGTTAGGACAAATGCCGGACATCATGTCATGTACTTCAAATTTGTGGTTGGAGTGTTAAAGGATACTCCAGGTGACTATGTGTGTGTGTGTGTGTGTGTGTGTGTGTGTGTGTGTGTACTGTACATCTCCCTCCTGTCCTGTCGGCCCTTCCTTTCTCACATGCTGAGCCCCTGCGCTCGGCTATGACGCTAACAAGCTCCTCAGTCTCTCCAGCTCTGTCTACACCGGGGCCCTGTTATTAATGGGGACCAGCTGGGAGTGGTGAAGGTACATGCACAGCCAGACAAAGCCCCATATATAATCATAAAGTCATAACAAACGACCTGATGTAAATGAGGATGGGGGTGTTTTGGGAGGGGAGGGGGGCGGCTGGGTTTGGAGAGAATAGGGCCACAGATACAGAAAAACCCAGAATCAAGGTGTCACCTGACATCAAAATAGCCTGTACCCTCTCGGCTCAGCTGGCTAAGTCCTGAGCAGACCTTTGACCTCCTCCTGGACATGCCAGACTCGGGGTCAAGTCTTGAGAATCAGCGCTGAGTGCCTCATAGACCGCTCACTTCTCTGCTGATGGGGCAGTTAGCCAGAGACGAATGCTCCTCCGTACGTGTCCGGGCAAACAAAGGACAGCTTTGCAGACTCTCAGCGCTGATAGCTTGGACACTTTGACATATGCCACCTCTATAACACACTTCAGGACCTGGCCGAAGCTGCAGAGTGTAGCAAAAATCTTTTTATTTTACGGTGAAGCGATGATTACCATGTTACGTGAATCCTGGCCTCGCTCGTCTGCTGTGTGCGTGCACTGGCGAGGCTTACTCAGACACATGCTTCCAATTAGCCAGGCTTCTTCATGTAAATGCTTCATAAATTATCCCCCCTGCCTCGGGATTAGGTGCTCATAAAGAGAGTTAGCATCTCAATAAACAGCAAAGGTTGTGTACAGAGAGCAAATTAAAGGGACAGTGGGAGGTTAGAGGAAGAAATGCAAATACGCAGGGAAGAGGAAGATACTGTGAGCTGACAGTTTGGTTGGGGATGAACTCTGAACTGTTCAAACTGCACAGATAAAAAACGGCGAGAGATTGCGCTCCATCTGGACACTTTGAAATGTGGCAGGATATAAAACAGTGTCTGCAGACACCCAGAGTCTTCATGCTGTTTCTGACACTTTATGAAAGCGGCTGAGGTCACCTGCTGGTCAAACATATCATATCAGGAAAAAAAAAAAAGAAAGGAAAAAGCCCAATTTTAATCATCTTTAAATTTTAATCATATCTAGTTTATGCCCAATTTGGCCATGCTCTATTTTCTAGTGGATATAAAACCGTTTAAAGTCGTCCCAAATGACCGATTTTTGAACAAGTGGAATCCACTGACAACCAGTTGTGAGCAGAAATGAAGCAAGTTTACTTGACTACACATCTTTTATGAATCTGTACTTTCCTTGAATATTATTTTTGGGGGTAAACTCTTAATTGTACTCAATTTTTTTACTCCTCCACATTTCTATGAATTTTCTTGCTGCTCCATTTGACTGTGTTAGTGTATTTCTGCATGTGTACTGTTGTGTTGTATCTGCACATCATGTGTCTCCGTGGTTGAATGTAGATGAAATGTCACTCAGATGAGACATTTAGAGGTGGTAATAATGACTATACACCCAAGCACCCATGACCATTTCCTAGTTTTAGAATATTTCATCTTTTCTAACTTCACACTAACTTCATACTGGTCTTAAAAATTACATCCAGGTATGTAGTTTAACATTTGTTTTATTCCAGATGAACATCCTAATCCAAGATTTCTGCGCTTTTTGTCCCTTTGATTTTGGAGCTGCTGATCTAGAAAACTGCAGCATGGTAGTTTAAAACATGTAAGCAATTTTTTTAGACGAACATGACGTCTCAAAATAAACACCCATGTGTTCCTGACTACAGCAATGCATTGTGAAAATTTAAAGTAGTTTGTTTATTCAGTGTTGTCATGGTAAGTGCTCCACTTCTTTGACTCGAGTCCCTATTTGACTGAGACACTGTCTCTTGTATTGGAGGAAATTTCACCAGAAGTATTTATAATTACTTTAAATTAAGTGAGGAAAGTTGTGTACTTTTTCACCACCCAAAAAAAACCCCAGAAATAATATACATGTATTTCTCAGATGAGGACGAGTTACAAATACTCTAAATTCTCAAAAAGGTAAAGAAGAATATACTACGTTTACACAAAAGATAGGCATACACTGAATCTAAGGAGGGAGGTATATAACATATTTGTAGTCTGATGTCAATGAGGTATCTAATCCAGCTCCATTTGCTAAGGCTCAAAGATTTAACTCTTCTCCTCACTGTTCCCATCGTCTTAGCTATCACACTGTGATCATCCAGAATGATTTTTTTGAGTGCTTTTATTCATGATGATGAAAAAGCACAATATAAGCATTTTATAAAATTAAGTGACTAGAATAAACAATTAAATAACCACTAAATTTATGTTATTATTAGTTTATTTTGTCAAATTGAAACAAATTCTCTGTTGTAGGGTCAGGATGTAAGTATCTGTGCATGGATAGTGCTGAGCAACGATAAGTGGAGACATCTCTCTGTTGCTGCTCTCAGACCAAAACTACGTGAATGAATTCCAGTCTGAGCAAACAGTTCTGTCAATGATCAGCAGAGTTTTAATAATCAATTATACGATAAATTACAGTAAATTTCAGAAAAAAAGCCCAGAGTTTAAAGTGAGGTTTACAAATTGACTGGCTACTGTTCAAAAGCAAAAGTACTCTAGATAAGGTAAACGTCATCGTACAACGAGTGGTATGTTTGTCTGAGACTTTTCACCCATGCTGCAGCCATTTAAAAAAAAAAACAACTTAGACCATAAAACATTAACATACAATATAATTAACCATTTAATAACCCTGATGATGTGTAAAACTCAACATGATGCCACGTAGAGCACATCCATGTACAAATTACTGAAAAAATGAATAAATACCGGCACTGTACAGCATCTCTAAAGGCTAAATATAATAATATTTTCAATTTTAAAACAGCATATTGCCACATTTGTGCATTTACGGCTTTATAATAACTTTCTGAGATGACCACCAAAACTGATACTGACCAAAGTCTAACTGCATCGGTAAGATGTGTGTAAATTTGATGGCTGGGTTTTTGAAAATGAAGCAAAACTTCTCAAAGTAAAAAACTAAAGCGTGAAAATGAAAAAGGTCTTTACTGAGAAAAATACTGCTGCAGATGAACTCTCTCCGTCTTGAGTCAGTCTTTGACTTCTGTGTAAAACCTCGACTCCTCCTAAACAGCACCGGCTGTGAGTGAAATGACAGGATAATTTGATAAAGTGGTGTGCCTGTGTTCAGTCCGGCAGACAATAGCCAGGGCATTAGGCGAATTAGGCCGTTCGGTGTACGCAAAGGTGCAGGGTGTGCGAGGGCTTTTTGAAATCTGTCGGGCACATAAAGCATCTGTAAACACGACGCACAAAGAGCCTTAACGCACTAAACCTCAGGCCACACTGGCCGTACAATGGACTGTCATATTGAATTGGCCCAGAGCGGTGGGAAGGAGGCTGTTTAAGACGACGCAGGGTGGGAGTTAAGCTGAGAAAGGGCCCAGCATGACAGACACTTGTCCATGTAACAGCTCTGCAGAAACTCACACCAGGCTCTCAACAACACTCTGCTTTACTGTCGATCACCAAGACACTGAGCAACACCGGCTGTCAGCCGCACATGTAAAATAAATGCAATCACACTTTTTCTCTGATATATATATATATATATTTATCGACCATCTCAGAGGGGCAGACAGAGACTCACACACATGCACAAACACACACACTCTCTCTTCACTTCTGAATACAGCACCATACAGACAGTCAATAACAGAATGGGGTGTGAGATTAAGCCTAAGCCCACCTTCTTTTCATGTGGCAGAGCAGCCGCTGCCCCGAGATCTGGCACCAGATGGCGCTGTGCCGGTCGGTGCCAGGAGATAATCGGGACAGATCGGGCCGCATTACTACCCATTATCTTCTAATTATTCTTGTGTGGAGCGCTGATCCTGCCGTTTGTGTAAGTGGATGGCACAGAGAGCCTGTCGCCCCCGGCAGCACGAAAATCCTCCCCACTTCCCTCACCCCCTCTGGGGATGGAGGGAGAGATCAGCCAGGGGAGGGAAGGAAGGAGGGGAGGGAAGGAGGAAAAGGGGAGCTGGTGGGTAAGGCAGCCAACCTGGTGGAGGGGAGACACTTCTTTGTGAACATACCTTGGGGCCCAGTGTTCATACAGTCACGTAAGGGAGACGGATCCCTCTGACCTTTGACCTTTGTGTAGGTGTCATCAAGAGCAACATCTTAGTCAGAGTTGGAACCACCTCGCTCTGCTCCGGTGACTCGATAAAGTGCGATAAGGATACAGTTCAAGTCTCCCAGGCTGCATTTGCACAGTGCCTGCGTGTAAACAGGCCCCAACCCCCCTACCCCAAAGGATAGCGCTAACTGCGCAGAGGCATATGGCTTACCATGTGCTCGGTCCCACGTGCACACTCTTAAGCGCGATTCTACCCAGAACATCTTCGCTTAATTATCAGCATTTTGTTCAGCATCCTCCTATTTTGCATATTAATATCTGTCAGCTCAGCGTGTAATATGAGGAGATGAAGGCTTAGACTACGCTAAAATACCACCGTAAACACAGGCTTCACTGAGCAGGAATATACATGTTCAGCCCATCAACTCCCGCGGGGTGCAGAGTCCGAGATGAAATGTGTGTTTTCAATACCTTTTAACCAGGTCTCAAGTGTGCACGTATGCA